TTGCTTATTACTTAATTATTGCTGCGATTTAAGCAAAATTTAAATAATGCTTACATTTAGGAAAGCAACAAATACGTAACGGCGGTATTATTCTAGAAGTGATGGCATAACGCAAAAACAATTCTAAACTTTATTCGCATAAAAATGAATATGACTTATGTAATATTCGTCGTCTCGTCAAGAAATGACTATTAAAATATGGATATTTTATTCTTCAACGTGACAAGGTCGTTTGGATACATTAAAGATAGTAGGAGCTCATTAGAAGCCAAAAAAGAAATAATATACATAGAAGGTTATTGACAAGAATACTAGTTGACAAGGTATACTCTAGAGAGGAAAGCAATTTTTGCATTGAGGAAGTAGAAATGTGTCCGCCAGTGAAGTGAAAGTGCTTAAAACGAAAAATAATTAAAAAATTGCATTTTATATCAAAAAAACTACTAGAGATTATACAAAATAATATGACGGTACATGTTCAACGAACAACAGAAATGAGCATTTAATTTTTACAACAGATACTATCTGCCTTCGAATTTTGTTGCGATTAAGAATATGTTCATATTTATTAATTACATTTTTTATTAGCATACATTTTCTCACGACGAAAATATGTACAACCAAAATTTTCATAGTACAATTGTGTTTTCACAAAAGGTATACACGACATGTTGATACATTAAATCGATCGAATCAATATTTTTATCAAATTAAAATAGTCAATAGCAAAAGTTAAGAAGTCAATAGAGAAAAGTGATTGAACTTAGGAAATAATTTTAAATTAAAACATTAAAAGTCGTTTTTCAATGCCTTCAGATAAAATAGTGTTATATCATTTTAGTGGATGTATTGCATCCCGTTTGTTAAAAACTGTGTTAAATCAAATTTTAGTAGGCGCCTTTCGAACCCGTGTTGGTACGTGTCTTTTGATCGCTTTGGTAAAAATAGTATTAAAAAGAAATTACTTTCTTTCTTATTAAAAAGTTAAAATATTTATTTTGCAGTTGATATTTTTCCTGGTATAATCGCGATTATATATGTATATGTATGTGTGATTGCTATCTAAAGTTGCTTTCAGTTCGCGCGACGATGACTAAAAGTTCTTATATTAATTGAAATGTCTGACAATAGATACATCCATTGGGATATCAATCTTGAATGTTATCAGTAACCGTTTAGTCAAGATAAAGTAATAAGAAGTCGACAGAACAACCTGGGCTGCTGCAGAGATCGCGGTGTAACCGTAAAGTGAACTAAAGATGTGGTTAACAAAATTAATACTTTTTGTGCTCTTCGTAGCCGTCAACAGTTCCTCCATCCAGTATATAAATGGTGAATACATTAAACAATTTTCAACTTCTTAAAAACTTTTTTCTTTAATTACTTCTTAACTATATATATTCTGTATACCTATTTAATTAGC